TGAGTTGTATCCATATTCATGTGTCTTCTCATGTGCAACCTTTTAACAGAGGAACGATACTCTAGGGAATGACATGTGGTCAAACATTACGCCCAAGGTGTAGAGTGATCTATAGCCAACTTTTGATCGGTATTTCAATTGGGTGAATGTCAAGCACGAAACAACCTGACCGAGTCTTCGGGGAAACAAGGAGAATGATTAAGATGACATTATTGTTTCCCCGGAGCCTCGACTTGGAATGTTTTGTGCTTGACCACTCAACCATACAGAATAGCGAAAGCTGGCTATTAGAGTGCGTACCATATATCCGTGAAAAAGTTTACTAACAAAATTGGTCAAAGTTATGTAGGTTTAAGGTCTACTGAGGTCTACTTAACTTACTAATTTGTGCAAATTTGTGCAATTTCTAACAATGTTTTTCATTGATGTCTGGTATGCACACTATCTGCAAACTGTACTACAAACTCCACGTACTTGAATGGCAATTATCTCAAACCGTTAATACTAATTGAAATCATCTTGTTCCGCTCAGAAACTAATCCTGGTAACGTGTACAAGGTAAATAACAACACAGGAGAGATAACAGTCAATGGACCGCTGACTATTGGAACTCAGCTACTGGTCGTTACGGTATGTAGAGAACTGAACACTTTGGTGTAAGGAAACACAGTTGTATAAGCCAGTTCAAAGTTTAAGAATCGTTTTCAATGCGCATGCGATTTTATCACTAATTTATAACCTTCTCTTGTTAAACCTTCTTTTGTTTTTAATTAAACAAACGAAGATGAGAAATTCGGGATAAAATCGCATGCGCACTGGAAATGATTCTTAAACTATGAACTGGATTATTGTACTCGTGAAGGGCGGGTGCAGGGGTAGTGGAACGGGTGGATGTAAAATTTGAGGACGAGATTGATAAACTGACTTTGAAATCATCTTCCACATCTTTAGCGTCTCAGTAAAAAATCTAATGAGTGAATGCAAAATCTAAAGAGGAAGTTATGATATACTGACATTGATGATGATGTGTTTTTTATTTAACCCGTACAAAAATAGCACGCATAATAGTTAGTAGTAGACTCTAAACCCATTGTTTTCTTTTGTTTTTTTATCGACTAGTACGAACTAAATTGTCATTTTTTTCCGATCCCGGGTTGAATATAATCGATATAGGAAATAGCCACCCCTTGAACTCACCCTTGATCCACAACGGTTTATTCTGTACTATTATTTTCAATTAATGAAACACCTGAAACAAGTGTGTAAAAAGTATATGTGTTACTGCTCTTTCAGGCCACCTCGACCAAACACCCTCCTGCATTCACCGTAGTCAAAGTGAATGTGGCTTCAATGCTCAACAAGTCGTACACTGTCAGTGTTGCTGAAGGACAAAGTAATGTGGTTATTTTCAATTTGGAAGTAAGTGCCTTAGTTCTTACAAAGTTTGCGCCCGTGATATGATTTCTCAGCAGTTTCATTGATTAAAGTGCCTATGAGCCCTAACTCAAAATTTCACTCATTAACATAAAGAAAGTTTAAATATCAGTATCTCCAAGATTCACCACTCCAATCACATAAAAATATTTACCTTTCAACTATTCAATTCATGTAGAACCAACACAGGAAATATTGAGGGCTAGTGGCACTTTAACGAGATGATAGCGAGGCTATCGCACTAGTGAACTTTTATGAACTGTATGGAATCCTCACCAACAATACCTATCTGATAAACTTGAAAGAATTCAAAGGAATGTCTCAAGATGGATTTTAGGCAGTTCCATTGAGTACAATGAACGTTTGAAATCACCTTGGATGGCTAAGTCTTCACTCTTATCGTGACTTTCTTAGCTTAGTTCAATTATTTAAGTTTATTAATGGCTTTTCTAAAGTCAAATTTTCTAAAGGTCGTACTAGGTCTACTCATGACCACAAAATTTGGAGACCATATGCTCGAACTAACATCTATAAATACTTGGATTAGGTATATTAATATATGGAATGATCTGCCAGAACATTTAGTTCATTGTAATTCTTATAATAAATTCAAGAAAGGACTTAGAGATTATTTATGCAAGGAGAAGCAGTAAATTTTTATCCTATTCATTTTCTTTCTTTGTAACTAGTATTACATTATTTCCATATTTTTAGTTCCAATAGCTTTTAACGATTTTACAATATATTTATATTTTATAGTTTCTTAATCTTTTTTACAATATATTTATATTTTATAGTTTCTTAATCTTTTTTATTTTTTTTCTTTTCTACCAGAGATTTTATTGTTATTAGTTAGGGGGGAGAGGGGGGGCTGCAGGATATGAGGATTCAGTTCTTCCCTTGCAGCGCCCTTTTTGCAACTTTTTTCTATCAATTGTTATTTGTTTGTAAATGAATAAATAAATAAATAAATAAATAAATAAATAAATAAATAAATAAATAAATAAATGGATGGATGGATGGATGGATGAATAAATTGTGTTTTAAATTTTATCTGCCTGTACCAAAGTGTTGACAGAAAGCATAACTAAATCTACCATTTTTGGTAAATGTCCAAACTGAATATTTATATTTTCTAACTTCATAGTCTATTTGCAAACAATTACAAATTGTTTTCAAAGTATGTAAGATCATAAAAGTTTCCAGTGTATATCGTGTCGAGCTTTCTTATATAGTTCACAAGAATAATTATAGAAGATATACAAAGAGATCATTAACCAAGCATTTCAAGAGTTTTATACGTAGTGTTTAATAAACGAGTAGTAGTGTTTTATCAGGTAT